CATGACGGTAGGAAGTGATATTGAGCTTTGGTCTTCGAGGTTTTGCAAGACGGGGAAGCTAGTTTTCCACAGACGGCGCCACTGATCTAACCGGATCAGACTTGGACCGTCACGACTAGCTCCGAGTGGAAGTTGAGTGAAATGGGGGGGTGTACCTGCAAGGCACTCCGATGCTAAAGTGAGTGATGGTACGAGCAGGCAAAAAGAGCATGTATGGGTAAAAGAATGAATACCTGGCCCTCTAGGAACATAGGGTATTTATAGCCCCCAGCGCGGGGCCAAGGTCCCTTCACTGGGCCGACCAGGACTGACCCAATAAAGGAACTGTCAGGTTCTACGTGTGTAGTGGGGACCCACACGTGGTCTCCTTCCTGGTGATGCTCTGCGAGAAATGAGGAGGAACGAGGACGCGATCTTCCCGGAGTTCAGGTGATTTGGTAACGGTCAGAGTCTGCCCTACGAGGAGGGTGCTCGAGCTGGGCTCGAGCTGGAGTTCACGTGATCGAGGACACCATGTTCGCGGCAGACACGATTGCAGTTTCTGGTCAGCGCGCTGGCGGGAATCCTCGGGCGCACGCTCCTTGAAGAGTTGCTTGGATTAGGCCTTCGTTCTTGCTCTTGGGCCAGGGCGGGCCCAGTCCAGAACAGTATATGATAGTATAAATTAATTTTGAATAGAAGGATAATTAAGAGAGAGCATAGATATTTTCTAATTTTAATTAGATAGTTGATTAATTACTTAAAAGGATATATGATAGTGTAAATTAATTTTGAGTAAAACGATAATTAAGAGAGAGCATAGACATTTTCTAATCTTAGTTAAATAACTGATTTAAGAATAATATAAAAGCCTACACTCATAGTGTTAACTTTATGCTAATTAAACAACTTCAAATCAGGTGACATTTTTAGATTTTAATTTTTCTTTGATATATATATATATATATATATATATATATATATATATATATATATATATATATATATATATATATATATATATATATATATATATATATATATATATATATATATATATATATATATATATTTGTTTCAGCTTTAAAAAATTATATTTTTCTTTGTATATTTAAAAATAGATTTTCTAAAATCATTTTTTAAAATATTAGAAATTCTTCTATATTTGTTTTTTCTAAATTGAAATATTAATTTTGATATTTTATAACATAAACATATGTTATTGAAGATCAATACATAGTCAAAATTGCAATTTTTTCAAAAAGTTATATTTCAAAAATGATTATTATAAAATTTTATTTGAAATAGTTTCAAAATTAAGTGATATTTTGAAATTTTGATATTCAAAAAAGTTTTAATAAGAAGATGAAATATCTAAAATAATATTTTAAAAACAACTATTCAAACCAAATTTTCAATTGAAGTTTTTATAAAAAATTTCTTTATAAATTTTTTTATACAAAATTATATAACACTATAAAAATCATTTAAAGAAAAACAAAACAAACAGACCCATAAAAACAAATTTCACAGTCTCAAAATTGTACCATAATTTCCATTATCCGTCTTTACTAATAATTATGTAATGTTTGTAATTCAGTTGCAACTACTATTTGTTAATTTTTTAATTACTATCTATATTATTTTTAAATTAAGCAAATTTATTTTTAAAATATAGAAAATTTTAAGGCTTTTTTACATTTTTTATAACAATAATTAAAGTTTGAATTTTTAAAACATTTTGTAATTTTAGAAATAAATATGGGAATAATTGTTATGTATTATGAATGTAAAACATTTTATATGGTGTGTACATTACAACCACTTACAATTAATACTTTATAATATAATTTAAAAAGTTAACTATTTATAAAATTTAATAGTTATAATTTGTTAATGATATAAAACTATTTTGTATTATCAATATATTTCAATTAAATTTAAATAAATATAATACAAATGTATGGTCAGACTCCATGCACATAAGTACATTAGTTTAGTATGTAATTTAATATATTTATTAACGATTGATAAGTATGTATAATTTTTCATATATTCTTCTACTGTAAGAATTTGAAAAATGATTAGAGAATAAGATCAATGGTTATCACGCAACTTTTTCGATGTAGTGTGGCTAACTTGTAACATTAACACTTTAACTCTTAATTCAATAAAAATATGAATAATAGTGTGAAATGGGAGGAATTTGAATACCTCTACATGATGTGGTTTCTCTCTATTTATAGGAGAGTAGATCTCTAACCAAATGCATGTCACGCGTCGTGAAACAATGTGGAACGTTGAATTAATCTAACGTTCGCGAGTCTCGAAAAAAAGATTCTATGTGTATGTAAGGAGAAGAGGTTTACCTCGACACTTTACTTTACGTTATAAAATTGTGTGTTTTTGAGCCTTTATCTTTTGTGAGCGGATAGAAATAATTAAAAATGGTGAAAAGTTAATAAAGTTGCAAAATATTAAATTAAGGATAAAAAGTTGAGTTTCTTTTTATTGAAAAACTAAAAATAAAAAAAACTAAAATAAAAAGAGAAAAATACATTTAAATTTGAGATTAATTACTATGTACTGTCAGTATATAAATAATAAAATCAAGGTTAATCTTCAATTAAAATTTTATTATATTAACTGCTGTCAATATATACCAATTAAATTCTTTAAGTTTTTAATATAAAAAGCTAATTACTTAAAAATTATATCATCAGCAAATGTATAATCTAATGCAAATACTTGATTATTATTTTTATTAGAAACGACATTCATTCAAAATGATAGAATACATCGAATAATATAAATTCAAAATCGATATAAATTAAAAAGAATGAATCTGTGAACAAACTCACAGCACCCACGTGTTAGCCAGCAGTTTTCGATTGAGGAAATATGGTTATAAGTCAAAGGCCATCACCAAGGGCGAAGCATCTTCGACACCACTAATAGTGAGATAAGAGGCATCGACAGATTGTTAAGGAAAAATCCCTTTAAGACTTAACAAAAATTCATGATAAGCGCTGTAAGCCAAGTCGATGGAGGGGATGAAGTCCAGTCGAATGCGAAAGCATTTAATAATGAAGCAGTTTTTAGTAACGACGACCAACAAAACGTGGGAAGCTTCAAAGGACAGTTTATTACAAACTTCAAACGTGGCTATGTAATAACCGTTGAACGTGTAGGATAACAATTACTTTTGTTGTTTATTTAAGCAAGTTTTGTTCTCAGTTTGAGGGGTCACATTTTACTACATTCAAAGCAATACTCAAAGTACTCGCATTCAAGAGAGAAATGAGTTCAAGCTTGAAATGTATGTATGCTTCCATATTTAAGTTAATACAAATTTATATTATTGTTTTCTTTCAAAAGTTTTGTTTTATTCTTTTGTTTCTTGTCTTGCAATTGTTGTTTTCTGTTCATTTGCATCTACAATGCTATCAAACTCAATCCAAACACTAAACCCATATCAAACTTAACACTAAGTCTAAGACTCTTGTAGCTGGTCTTGCAAGTAACCTTTAATTAAGAGACTAAAGATTGTTCGCCGAAAACACACGCGAACGCCACGTTAATACCATATACCGGCAAATTTTCTACAAATGTGACAAAGTCTACAAATATGACAAAATTGAAAAAACTCTGAAAATCATGTCTCTGAGTCTGCAGCATTGACGATGTTAAAGTCATTGGTTGAATATGGTTGAGTCGAAACTAATCTGTCAACCAGAATCTAACAAACATCACACTAAGACGGATAAACAAAATAATATCGCAATAAGACGACGAGCAACACAACGTCACATTAAGACAACAAAAATTACGAAGAAAAAATTAAAAATATATGTAAAATGACTTATTTAAATAAAAATGAAAGGAAAAAAAATTCAAATAAATTGATATAAAAATACTTAATCTAATCCCTCCAAAATTAACCTTAAAATCACCCACTTCTCTTTAATAAATGAAGAACAAAAGAAAACTAAAATAAATAAAAAATAAAAAAAATAGTCGATATCAAAATACTTAATCTAATCCCTCCAAAATATTACTATATTTCTAATTTTCGATAAATTTCATCCATATAAATTAATTTTGAATTAAATCTTGTTTAACAAGTTGGCAATTTCAATCCATCTTTTATATGAGATCTTTCGAGAAACAAACATACTAATGATGTATTTCCGAGATCAAACTGAACACCCTCTCAATATATTCGATAAAGAAGACAGTGAAATTTGTACAAAACAAAACTTATTCGAAATCTCCTTGTAATCCAATCAATAATTGAGTTAGTTATTTATACTTTTTATGTTTTATATATCATTGCTTTACAATTCTCTAAATTTTTTAATTATTTATAATATTGATAGCTAAATAATACTACATCTCATATAAACTCTAATATCATATATTTTAAATCCAAGCATTTGTATATATTCAGATGAGAGATGAATTTAGCAAAATCATGAAGGCTTAAGAATTTTAGTGAAACTATTCATTGTGATTTTGATTATTTTTGCAAAGTCTAAATAGTTAAATTTCAGAGTTTTTTATTTATTTTAGTTTTCAAATAAATAAGATCATAATAATTTATAGTTCATGGTCAGAGATTATACACTGATTAAACATATATTTAATAAATCAAATATCGTATTTATAAGAGAAATATTTATATATTTAATGTTATAAAGTGTGTTTGGATGAGGCCGTTGTAAATTTTTAAATAATTAAAAATCCTACTCAATTCAAATTATTCAATTAAAATTCTTTTGATTAGATGAAGTATTAAAAAAACTTATCCTAATTATAATACCTCATCCAAACACACTTATGGATGGCCATGTTGGGTCTCCTTATGATCCTGAAACATTTGACTCTATTGTTAACTCCCAACTTCTCCAAACTACATCATAATGCATTTACCCTTGCATTCATATGACAAAAAAGAAAACACAACTTAAAAATAAGAAAAATCCCAATAGTGTTTAATTAAAACAAGTTAAATTCAAAGCTCAAAATGGTGTAATACTTCCACTTCTTGTCTCAGTTGGACTGTATAAAGCAGACCTGTTCCTTGGTCTATTCTCCTCCAACTGCCTCACAACTTCCTCCATGCTCGGTCTAACCGACGCCACCGGTGCACAACATCCCATCGCCAGCTTCAACGCCTGAACCAACCCGTCTTCCATTGGACTTCTTATCCCTTTCAACAGTTCCACGTCGAAAACTTCCATTGTAGTTTCCTCCAAAACAGCTACCTTCACCATCGAAGGTAAATCTATATACTCGCCACTTCTTCCGTTCTTACCAGGCTTCCTACCGATTAAGATCTCCAGAAGTAATATACCGAAGGCGTAGACGTCGGTCCTTGAGTTGCATTTCTTCATTCTTTGAAGCTCTGGTGCCTTGTAGCCGTCTGTCTTGGCGAGTGCCACCATTTCGTCTGCTATGGAAGGGATCATTAGCTTATCGAGAGCGAAGTCAGTGATCCTTGCAACGAAGAAGTCGTCTACGAGCACGTTCTTGGATCTTACGTTTGCGTGAGTTATAGGAACGTCGAGTCCCGTATGAAGATATGCTAGTCCTCTTGCTATACCTAATGCAATCTTGTGTCTCCTTGCCCAATTTAGCACTGGTTTTCCTGCTTTAATTTCTGTAGAAAATCAAAAACACAACATCATGATCAACCGCAATTGTGTTGCAACACAGAGACATTACATTAATCGCAACATAATTTATCGTTCAACTCACTTTTAATTTTACACGAATATCAACATAAACCACTTCACCTCCAACTTACTTTTAACTAAAATCAATTTTACAAAACCAGCTCATTCAAAATCAAGTTTTATCAGCGCAGAATCAAACACGCGCGAAATGCTATTTATGTAATCGTGTATTCGAAACACAAAGAAATAAAAGGAAAAAATGCATTAGCAAAGAGTTAAGTATTCATCAAACCATGCAAAAGTTCATGAAGAGTTCTGAGAGGCAAATAATCATAAATAAGCAGCTTCTCTCCTCTTTTCCCTTGATAGAAAGCTCTCAGAGGAATCAAATTCTCGTGTCGAATTTTTCCCAACTGTTTAATAACCGCCAAACACGAACTCCTATCCTTGCAAGTCCCTTCTCTCAACAACCTCAACGCGATCGTCCCACCATCCGCAAGTTTAGCCTTATAAGCTGTTCCATAACACGTCTTCTCCATAACTTGTCCCGTCGCATTCAACACATCATCAAGTGTCAAATTCTCACCACCAGCAAACAACATAAGCTTCCCTTCACCACCATTTCCACCAACGGAACCACCACCACCGCCGTTCTCCTCATCCTCTTCATCATCATTCAACTCATCTTCACTCTCACCACTCCCCTTTTTCTTCTTGTTTTGCATATAACCAATCAACAAAGAAGCCAAAACAACAGCACCTGTCATAAGACTAATAACAATACCAGCAACAGCACCAGAACTCAATGAAGAATTCTTACCACAACTTCGCAAAGGTGAACCACACAAATCAGGACTATTCCCTTCAAAACAATCCACACCGAATTTCGATTCGCCGAAAAACGGAACAACCCCACTAAAATTATTATGAGAAAGATTCAATTTTTCTAACCTAAGTCCAACCAAACCATTAGAAATTGCACCACTAAACATATTACTCCCTAAATCAAGCTCTTTTAAAGCACCAAATTTAGTAACAAAATCAGGAAAATCACCAGAAAATTTATTACCACCCAAATCAAGAAACTGCAAAACCTTACAAGATGAATCAGGTAATGCAGGTTCTGGAACAGACCCAGATAAGGAATTTCCATGAACCTTAAGAGAAACAAGCTTATCACACAAGTTCCATACAGAAGGTGGAAGGTCACCAACCAAAAGATTGTCACTCAAATCAATATCAGTAAGTGAAGAGCCATAACCAAGCTCAAGAGGAATGGTTCCACTCAATGAATTGATGTTAAGGTAAAGACTTTGCAGCATAGGAAACTGCCCGAGCTCTCTGGGGAGAGAACCAGAGAGATTTGCAGAGGGGAGTTGAAGAGACAGCAAGTGCAAAAAAGGGTCTTTTGAGAAGGAAAGATTGTTCCATTGAGGTGAAGAGAGGTCAGTACATGAGAGAGATGAACCGTTGGTGAAGACCCATTTGAGGCCTCTCCATTGACAGAGAGGAGTTGAGGTGTTCCATGAGGAGAGGACGAGGTTTTCATTGGTGCCTTGAAGTGAAGGTTTGATTTTGTATAAGATGAGTTGAACATCAGAGGAAGTGGTTGGAGGAATGGATTTTGTTGAGGCTTTGTTGAAGAAACAGAAGATGAAAAGGAAGGGAATGTAGAGAGAGAGAAGGGTTTTGAGAAATGCCATGAGAGAGAGAGAGAGAGAAGGGAAAGTGAAGTGGTGTTTGAAGAAAGTGTGAAGGAGAAAGAAAGAGAGGTTTTCTTTACTGGGAAAGCTGACACAGTGTTGACTATGAGTGGAAGGAGGAACAAAGTTTGTCAAGTGTGTTCCACTTTGTTCATTCAATGGTTATGATTGGGTTCAAAATGTATTTTAAGTTTTGAACAAACTAGACGAAACTTGTGTCTTTTTCTTGCTTTCTTATTCCTCGTTTTCTTTATTTGGAATTCTCATCATCATAGTTATTATTGATTGTGTCGACGGGAATAGATCTGATTTATCAGACGATTCTTACTCTTTTCTCTCACTCTCCTCCTTTGCCTCCCCCCGAAGGAAAGGGAGTAGTTTTTCGAAATTCGACAAGAACCAAATCACCAGCTTCCTGAATATCATGGTGATCAAGCACCTCAGAAACCAGGACCCTCACCTCAGCAATCCAAAACGTCTCCCTCCATTAGTTCGCCTTGGCATTTTACTTCATTTGATTGTTACATTATTCAAAAAAATTTGAATGGCGAAGTGGGACCTTCACATATAACCCCCAGGGAGGGATGAGAAGTCGGACCATCAAAATAAAATGTAAATCCAACAGTGTTTGACCAAGAGGTCTCTTCAGCCCTGAATCGAGGGGACCTGCCCACTTCCAACCAGCAGTCGGTTGTTCAGCCGACGCATAACACTGGATGGCACAACAGAGGATGCCGGAACCTGAGGATGACCATTTATATAGGGCCATTGATGCTATCAATATGGCCTGTAAAAACAGCCATGATAGACAGAGCCTGCATTCTCTTGCAGAAGAAGGAAAGGGATCATTCTCGAGGAACCAAAGGATGTGAAGCGTGCGCTCGAGGTGGCTCTCCATGACGACTGGGAGCACGACATCGATGAGTGTCTTGAGCATTTTCGTGTGCTGAATCACAAATTTGGCACCGCTTGTTGTTCCATTTGGAACAACTTCATTTACTAACTAAGGGAGTTAGGTTATCACCAGGTTAACTCCCGACATAAGGTCGACTAATATTTTTCATCTCCATTTTTTGTATTCGGGGAATGGGTTGTTACTAAAAGGACTTAAATAGAATGAGGAGGACGACATATAGACTCACGGTCTAATAAAGTAAAGTCTTTGATATTGGTTCAAATCCAATTCATGAGATGACAGTGATCTTTAGCGGATCATGCCCATAATAAAGGTTGTTTCAGCCGAAACATGACCCCAGGCATGTCTGACCTACCGCGTTAGCTTTGCAGTACTCCCACCCAGGTAAGAACAGACAAGTGGAATATCACAATCCTCACTGATGTGGTGTCCAGTCAAAACCCTAATTTTCCATTTTATTTCCTTGGCTTTTGAACTGTTGATTGATAGCAATGAGACAGAGAGAGAGAGAGAGAGAGAGAGAGATTCTGAGTCACTTTCCTTATTCAAAGAAAGAAGAAGAGCATATGGATTTTTTTGTTATATAAAATTAAAAAAAAAAACTAAATTTCGACTTACCTTAGTCTAAAGTCAATAACAAATTGCCATGACGTTCCAATCCTATCGGTTGACAGTGGAGTTGTGTTGATGGGAAATGATCACCCCTATAATGTAGTTGGTATTGGTTCGGTCAAAATGCACGACGATGTGGTGAGAACTGAGGTGCGGCATGTTTCAGACATGTCAAAGAATCTTATCTCTTTGATCACTTTAGATCTCTCTTGGTGGTTGTAAATTTGTTTTATTTTAGGTGATGGTGTTTTGAAGGTTGTGAAGGATGCTCTAATTGTGATGAAGGCTTATCAGATTGGTAGATTGTATGTGTTGCAAGGGTCTACCGTTATAGGCATAACTGTTGCATCTTCCTCCATGTCTGATTCAGATGAAACCATATTATGGCACATGAGGCTAGGACACATGAGTGAGAAAGGCCTGACAATGTTAAGCAAGAGAGGCCTTCTTTTTGGTCAGAGTACATCCGAATTGGAGTTATGTGATTTTAATAAGTTCTGCAAAGATGAAGGCATTGTTAGGCATCTTACAGTTAAGAGGTACTCTGAAACATAATGATTTGATATAGAGAACTAACACCATAAATACAGGGTGAATCTCATTGTGCATCTATTGGAGCTCATCGAAAGTCTATCTCCAACTGAATTAATATCTCGTTTTCCCTTTGCTGCCATGGAGATCGATGTTCCACCTCTTTCTTAAACTCTCATTCCAGCAGCTTTGAGTCTAACTGCCTGTCCCCCAGTTAAAAAGGTGAAGGAGTGGAAAAGGGCAAGGCCATTGAACCAGCATTTAATTGAATGAATTCTTGATAACATGCTTCGCCTTAACCAACACATCCTACATGAATCAAGAAAGGCAGTGGCACTGACCATCTTGATGGAGTAGAAAGAAGAATTACTACTAGGCCTGAAGGGAAGCCTACGAGAATGGGATACTTATCATACAAGAATCTTACTAGATTGACTACTGACTCGATGAACATGGAAAGTCAAATCAAAGCTGATACGATTAAAAATAGAGCAATGGTTTGAAGAAATCATGAGAGCTACACTTTTCCAGCTTAAATTTGCTCGGGACCAAAGAAATGAAGCACTAAGTATCACATTAAGCGAACACTCAAACTATCTTAGATGGGCTTGCCTTTGATTCTGATGTCTCTCAAAATGATTGATAGTGAGATTATTTTTCTAACTGGGAAGAAAGTCTTACTCTAAAGTATAAAGTAAGTAAGTCAATTCTATAGGAGAATAAAAAGGAACTAGAATGGATCTCCGGCTGATAAGAAATTTCAACTCCAGCAAATGGAAAAACAACTATAACTAGTTCGTAGGAGGCTCCCACTATACATATGTAGTTTGTAGGAAGGATATGATGACATCAAGACTGCTTGTATGGAGATTTTTTTCTCAATTGTAGGAACCTCCGGGAATGTCTTAGTCCTAGTACTTACTGTTAGGAGAATAACCCTTTGATCCTTATTATTGTGATTTTTATTTGTTTTATAGTTCAGCTAGCTTGCTGAACCAGTAGAAAAAGATTTGATTCTTAAATAGTACTGATATATAGAGTAGTTAGTATAACATATAATCAAGTACTTCTAGTAGAAGAATAATAATATACTGTACTTTTTTCAAGGAAAAATATTGTATAGTAATGATGCTGAATCTGTTAGGTTGAGTTAGTAAAGAAGCATCCATTAGTACTGATAGAATCATTCTAGCCTCGACAGGGGAATTACTTTTCAAGTAAACTGACTACTATTCTTACTTCTAGAACTTGGGTATGCTTATTCACTAGTTGCTGGAAGGGTAGAACATAGGTCAGTGTTGGCTCATCTTTCACTTCCAGACTCTAGCTTTATAAAACCTTCCTCACCTATAGCACCTGGCTTAGCTTTAAGCCAATACCAGTGGACTTCCTTATCCTTATTCTAGAACCTTCACCTGGGAGTAAGAATATTTTGTAATTCGTCCTTAGTTACCCTTTGTCTCATTTCCCCTTCCTCACTTTAGCTCTAGGGAATGACTCCTACCCCTTCTGCTACTGAACTATACCTCAAAATAAAAATAAAAAACTCTAGCTCAGCTTGGGGTTAGGCTTATGTGTCCTACCTTTCCATAATCAAGATTGACAACATCTTTAAACTTTGGCCTTGAAGTCGAGTTACTCTCGTTCCCAAACTCCATAGACTCAGAAAAAGACTAAACCACGCTACTTGTCTCAGCATCTGCTTTGTTCGGTCTTGCAACTAATTTTTCAGAGGGATCCCCAAAGTAATGTACTTATATGCCATCCCATATTGGTATCCCATGTCTGATTCTCCTTCTCCATATTCTATTTCTGTGGAATCTCTGTTTGAACACCATTCTAGTTCCAGATACTTGGTTTTAGTTCACAGACCCACCTTTCAGTTGAAGTTAAGTTAGCTTCCCCTCCCATGGAAAATCATTTATTTATTCTTCAGTCAACAAATATTTTTATTATTCCTTCCTCCAATAAAACCTTCTCTGAGCCAACAACCCGATCCATCTTAGTTCGATTAGGAAGTTCATGCACAACGAGAGCGAAGTCATGCGAACTCTGAACAGAAGGAGTAGCAGCATTTTTTCCATTGGGGAAGGCTTCAAAGATCAAAGGCAAAAAGAAAAGTCAGAAGTCTAAAAATAGAAAAGAGCGTATTCGATTGTATATTCATAGTTGACATCAGTCTCTTAAAAAGAATAAGCTCGAGAAGGGGGATCTGTAGGAATTATATCTTTAGCAGCTCTTACAGTTAGAAAGGGAACAAAATCCTTATCCACTGTGAGAGTAGACGGTGCTAGTGAATCTAGATAGGCCCCTAAGTCTCGCCTTACTAGTCTAGGTAACTTTCTTCAATCATTGTAATGGTAAGGCTAATATAATAATGAGACTTTATGTTTCCTGGCATTGCTCGAGATCTCCGAACCTTTTCTCTGCTCTTGCTTGCAACTATAAGGTATTCCAAATTCGTAAGAGTTACTTGTAATTCAAAAGCTTACATAATTTCTAAGTTGCTAAGTCTTCCATCCTCTCCTTTACAGTCTAGAACTGCGTACCTCTAAGATCAAAATAAGTCAAACTCAAAGTCTGACCTAGGGGACTGCTACCTATTAAGTCGAGTCTGCGGTTGCACAAACTTCTACCATACTTCTACAACTGAAAATAATTACAAATTCTTTGAAACCTGTTGAGGCTGGTCAAGATCAGTAGGCCAATATTCCTTATGCTTGTGTAAATTTACTCAATCTATGGAGTTCTTTTTCCCTCCGGCTAACAGGGCTGTTAGAGTTCGTCCATGATCACAACTAGTACTAGCCTTCGTGTTAATAAGTGTAACTAAACTAGATCTAAAGGCACATAGTTACTAGAGCTAAGTTATAGGGTCTATATTAATAGAGCTCGGCTGTAAGTAAAGGAGAGGATGACTTTATCTCCAACTCAATCACCA